AGATGCTGTGTATTCCGCTTGCCGGAGCACACCAACCTCGGATACAAAATGTTTAATATCCGTCGCCTGTCTTCGCCGGTGTTTTGCCCGGACATAGAGCTCACCTCGCCGGGTTGTGTCAGCCGCTGGCTCCGTGTTGGTGTCCGCTGAGCGGTCGGACAGTCGCTCGTCTCTGCAGCAGCTTTTGTTGCATAGGTTGTCCGTTACTGCTGCAACTGAAGCCAGGGCTTTAAATACGCCTTTAAAGGAATAGCTGTCGGAAGAAGAAGCATAACGCTGACTTCCGTCGACGTCACGGCTACTTAAAGGGGCGGAGCAACAGCGGCAGTGCGAAAAGGTGCAGAGAGGCTGAGTTTTAAAGGTGAATACCGTAAAACATATTCAGAGACAGAAAGTAGTAGCTAAGTACGTTTATTCGGTTACAATGTTGAGGTACTTGTACTTAACGTGAGTGCATCCATTTTATCCTTATACCTCTCCTTTATATTTTAGAGGGAAATGTTACTTTTCTGATTCAAAACATTCATCATACACAAGACTTGGGCTACAACAATAAATATAGAAACGGAACAAAACAACATTAATAAATAACAAACAAACAAAAAAGGATAATGTACTGCAAGATTGCAGCAGGGACATGCTGGGACATGATGAACAAGAACATGAACAACACACCCTCTTGCCAGTACATACCAAGAGAGTGTGTGCATGATGACGATAAATAGACTGCAGCAACGATAACAACAAGACAATAAAAACAACAATAATTATGATAGATAAGATTAAATTAGCTCCCTCTTCACCAGCAACGAGGCTTAATAAGTGGCCTATTGCACAAATGTTATTACACTATTGAATCCGAGACCTTTATTTATAATGTGATATCTATATTTGTCGGTAAGTAATCTGAGTACATCTTCCATCGTTGATTTTCTTAACTCTTTATTTCCTGCTGTTTGGGGCTCTCACAAGCCTTCAACACTGTATGTGTGAAAATAATACATGCTTTTTTTGACCTTTTCATCCGACCTTATTAAAACCCTTTATGTAGAAAATTATTGGGGATATTAAGTGACAACCCATCCCTCAAAAAAACGTAAGAAATCCAAATTGACTAATTTGGGATTTGGGAGGGGTTGTCCTGCATAAAAATAAATAAACAGACCCAAAACAGAACCTTTGGGTTGAACAAGGAATTGATTTCACTGGATAATGGCTATTTATGTGAATATAACACTTACTGTTCTACACTCCCCAACTAGTAAAATATGTATATTATTTTCAGATCAGTAAACAAAGTGACATGTGTATATCCACAGTCTTTCTTGCATGAATTAGACTGTTAAAGACAAACACCAAAGGACTCCAATCACAATGTGGACAAAATGTACAGAAGGCGTGCTGTTGCTCTCCTTTGCTCTCACTCCTTAAAAGAAGACAAATTAAATGAAAGTCTATTGAAACCTGATTGCAGTTGTGGTCTGTAAACCAGCTCCACTGCTGAAACACACTCATGCCATGGCTGCATAACTATCTTGGGTGGTGAACCCTGCCTCCAAAGGCATAAACACATCTGTCTTGATCTCTCTGATCTTCCCCTGCAGTTCAGGCAGGTTAAGATTCTTTGGTGACAGCCATAATTTCATTGTGTAACACCATAATTATCAGCAACAAAGTGCACCCAAATGGAGCTGTCAGCTTCTGGATCTCCTTCTGCTTCTCCCTGTGTATGAACATACTGACTACATGATTTGGTTTCTGAAGCCTAATTTTAGGAAGAACTGGTATACGAAAACACGGGCAGAAACTGAAGAGACAGAAGCAATGGGTGACGTTTCCTGATGTTAAAAAAAAATGATGTGTCGCTCAACTGAGACTGAAGGTTTATAACCAGAAAACAGCTGTTTTTCTAGACCTATGACAGGTTTAAAACATAAACAACACCTAAAATCATCAACATCATCATCATCATCTAGAGTTAAAGATCTGCCTGTCAGACATGATGCAACTCGTAAATATAACACATCTGACATGTAGTAGTTATCATGCTCTCTGTCATTTGCCTGATCCTGGAGCATGTTCTTCTTCTCTCTGTCATAACCTGCGTGAGAAAAAAACCAACTTAAAAATATAATAATTGTGTGCAGCAAACTTATAGGAATTGAACCTGTGACTGTACATGCCAAAGTGATGGCATGATGCTTTGTGAGTTTTAGGGGGCTTTAAAGATTTACATCCAGAGGAGATCCCAAAAAGCTGAGAGACGAAGACGGGGAAGTATTGAGAGACAAACTGCATGGATGGTTTTGGTGTTTTCATTTATTGACACCAGTCTTATCATTTAACAACATAACACCATGTGTCAAACTAAAAGATAACATGCTGCACTAGCTGCTACAGCGCTAATGACGTTAATAGAATGTCAATCTTTTGTCTTCGTGGCATTGTGCTGCAGAGCATTTTGCCTCCGCTGACTAGAGTTATTGTTTCACCGCTTTATGTTGGTGGTATCATCAGGGGACATAATGTTATAGCTTCAATAGCTACGCTGATGATACACAAGTGTACCTATCTGTTGAGCCAAATGATGAAGATGCCTTAAGCTCCCTCACTGCCTGCCTATCAGCAATAAACACATGTCTGAGTAATAACTTTCTCAAATTGAATGAGGATAAGACAGAAATTATATTAGTTGGCCCCAAATACAAGAGGGATGTTTTACTGGAGAAACTTGGTTATCTAACTCACCTAATTAAACATCAAATAACAAGTCTGGGTGTTATCTCGGACTCTAAATTAAGTTTTGTGCCCCTTATTAATAAAGTGGGCAAAGTGTCCTTCTTCCATCTGAGAAGCATTGCGAAAGTAAGGCCTCTAATGACTCAGCAAAATGCAAACAAATGAATGCACGCCTTCATCTCAAGTAGACATCACTCCAGTCTAAGCCACGCTGCACTGGCTACCTATAGCCTCCAGAATAGATTTTAAAGTCCTTTTACTTGTGTGCGAAGCTCTAAACGGCTTAGGAAAGCCTACATCACAGACTCCCTGTTGATATGTTCCTCCACGAACCCTTTAGATCCTCCACTGCTGGGTTTCCTCAAAAAGCCTCGAAAAAGAAAATTGGAGCTGCAGCTTTTTTTCACAGCCTACCCAGAAACATTAGAGGCAACCTCTGTTGACGTTTACTTAAGCATCATTTAAAAACATATCTATTTCGCAAAGCCTTTTTTTTAATACCACTTTATGTGCGTTCCACAGAATCCCACACCTGTCTTTCAAAATATCTTTATTTTATTTAAACACTTTTATGTCTATACATTTCTTTTGCTATTTATGTATTTGTCAATTTAAATGTAAAATGTTTTCCAGTTGGACAAAAGTACAAAAAGGAAGGTTTTCCGTTTTTATTTATTTTTAAAATATACAACACTTTGAGCTACATCTGTATGAAATGTGCTTTGAAAATAAAGATTATTATTATGTTGCTGCAACAGCAATTGTGTTTCTTTTTTTCTCTTAATCTAGCTCTTGCTTCCTGTAAGTAAACATTTATGGATTAAAAGCAAATTGATTAAAAGCTGCAGGAGACAGAGAGCAATTTATTGCAGCCGAGGTATGAGTGGACCTGCACAGGGAGAGATTAACAGCTGCTTATGGCTTCATGTAACGCAACAATGTCAAGCACACACATGAACATACAGATTTATACCAATACAAACTGCACAGAACTGCACAACCACAAGTACGCTACTTGAAGGATCAGACGTTGTGAACTCAATGCAATAGAAATATTAGTTTAGCTACGTTTTGCAGCAGCTTGCTGGTAGGTCAACTACATTCCTATGTGCATAGTGACACAAGCTGTTCAATTACTTTTTTTGTCGTTTTTTGTGGAGCGAACTACTGAAACTACAAACAATTGGAGCATAAAAGGTCCAAAAGTCAACACCACACACCTGACCTTTCACCTTTGTGTAGTGCCTGGATGTGCAAAAAGGACACGTTGTTCAGCGCTCACACAGCGACAGCGTCATCATCTTCAGAAGTTGAAGACAGACGAAGGAAGATGTTCCAAAACTGACAAGTATGACAACAGGTCCATTTGTTAAGACCAGTGCTCAAATTGGTCAAACGGTCAATAATAGCGATCTATGTGATTATGAGTCTGAAATAAAGTTTGATTGAATGATTCATTGAATATAACACGTAATGTTCTACACACTCCACAACTAGTAAAATATTTATATTATTTTCAGATCAGTAAACAAGGTCACATGTGTATAAAGACTTAGACGGATTTACTCTCTTTGGAACCCCAAGACACCCTTAGTTTCATCCAATCGTTCCAATGTCTCAGCTCTACAATCAATCATGAAGTCCTCAGTAGAAAAAGCTGTTCAAGCAAAAACAAAAAATCACAAAACAGTAGTAGTTTGAATGCTCGCTCTCTCTCTCGTTTGCCTGGTCCTGGAGCATGTTCTTCTTCATAACCTGCATGAGAACAAAACCATAAAAATATAAACATTGTCGGCAGCAAACTTGTAGGAATTCAACCTCTGCATATGTGAATGAAACCTGAATATTTTTGAATGAAGATGCCACCTTGGCCTGTATTATTACATTTATCAAACGAGGATTTGTCACTATGTTCTTACATCTCAGAAACAAAGGGGTTAGTAATTTAGCCAATAATATAATTGTCAGATTGATTGATAAAGAAAATAACTGTTGTATCGATATTGTGGGTTTTGATCTGTGAAATTTAACTTTAATCAACTCTCATCAGAAAACATATCAAATAGCCCCCTCTTCTGGTGAACTCCGGGAAGTTCAGAAACACAGCAATGGAGTTCAATTTTCAATTTTGCAGCACGTAGTTGTGGGATGGGCACAGTGATGAACGTGCCATGAAGCTATGAGATGACTTTTTTTTTTTTTTTTTGCTCCCAACAATCCAACAGACAAACTGAAGCCTTTCTTCATAAAAATGTATATTTATTACTTCACTTTTGGTTACATATTAAAACATCTTGTTAACAGTCTTGAAGATATAATAAAGTGTCATTTGAAGTCTGAAGCTGTTTGCATCGTCACCAGTTGAGTTTACAAAAGGAATGCATTTTGTGTTCACATTCACCACTTTTACATAGTGTATAAATACATGAAGTTGAACCTTTGATACGAACCAAAATGATCCCATTTGTGATTTTGTAAAAATGTTGTTGAGCAGGACAGAAAAACAGGTGTGTGCCTTCTTCTTTACTCCGATTGTTCAGAAGTCCCAGAAAGAAATAAAGACAATAAAAAGGAATGTGCAAGAAAACTTCAGTCTATTCTGTTCCACTTCATCAATACAAATAATGTTATTGAAATAATGACGTGATAGAAATACATATAAAATGCATGTAACACAAACGTCGACAGAACACAAAATACATATGAGGAGCAATTCTTAGCCTGGCCTTTTGAATTAAAGTTATATATAACTTGGTTTTTAATATCATGAGGCATTTTATAGCCGGTAGGTTTGACCAGACCTTCATCTCTCCCGTCAGTCCGTACATAGAAACATTTTGCCTTTATCCTAACAGCTACCATCCGGTAACACAGGTAAAACTAATCCTGTAGGAAAATAAATAGAGAAAATGTAAAAACGTTGTCTAAAAATGAGGTAAGTATTTGATAAAGAAAAACACTGTGGGGATGGTCCTTATTTTGTGTGTTTTTATCAGATTCCAGGACTAGGCTTGTTCCTCTTGAGCTGCTCTGAAACACACATGTCTCACATGTCATGAGTTTGAGTCCAGCTCCCGACTTCGTATCCCCTTTCATCATATTTCCCGTCCCTCTCCGCCATACATCGTCCATTAAAGAATACCCTCTATCAAAATAAACACTTTCTTTCCAACATAACGGTGAAATCTCCAATCATATGAGTTTTGTTTTCAGGGTAGTTTGACTCCTTTGAGCTGTGGAAACTCGCCTCAAAAAAACACAGTTGGAGGTGATGCTCAGTCACACAATGTTCCCACATAATAAAAAGTGTGATCATATTCAATAAAAGATAGGGTGCAGCATTAAATAAGGCATGGTATGACAATAAAGAAATGTAAAAACTTTCAGCAAAAGTGAAGCACTTTGGATAAAAACCCAAATATCCAGCAGAAATTGTGGCCACTTCTCTTTTTTCAGTCTTTATTCGTCCTTCATGATCCCGAAAAATAACGTGTTAGTACTGTTTAGTATTTGTCAGTTGGTGACAATACATGTAAACCTGGTGCTTCACATGATCACCATGTGATTCCTTCACATCTATGAGACTCAGAGGCAAGTTGAAGGGATTTGTGATTTTTAATCCGCTTTCCAATCACAGACCTTCACTCCCGTTTCTTGCGGATTCTAAAACTCGTCAGTTCGCAGGACGTCCCAGAGCAGTTCAAGCAGAGCGATGGCTCCGACTCTAAAAATGAGTCCATTTCCAGAGAGTCAAGTCTACTCCACCTTCCAGATGGCGATCTTTCCGTCTTGTTTGCCAGCTCCGCTGAGGACGTACCGGTCTTCCGCGGAGCAGAGCGCCGTCACCTTGTCGTTGTGGCCGTGAAGCTCCTTCAGCACCTGGTGCCGTTCCGTGTCCAGGATGTAAATCTTCCCTTTGGTGGTTCTACGGCCAACACCGCCGACCCATACCTGGAGAGAAAAAGGGATTGTAATGCATTCCTAGGCGATTTAAAGTGTTTTGTTTGTGTTCATCAGTACTGTGTATTCACCTGGTTTTTAACTTTGATCATGCAGTGACATCCGGTGCAGTCCTGTAGAGCCACACGGTGATACGGTTTGGTAGTGTCCTTAATGTGCCAGATACACACTTCTCCTGAGTCCACACAAACACTCCACAGCTCCTCCTTCTAACATACACACAAACACATTGAGGAAAAAGGGTCACACTCAAATACAAAACACATCAATACACAGAGACAGAGAGAGAGAGAGAGCAAAGTGTGAGTGTGGTACCTCAGGCAACAGCAGTACAGAGCTGAATTTAGCTGTGGATCCTTTTTGCTGCTCTGGTAGAGTCAGACGTTGTTTCAATGAACCGTTCCTCCACACCTCCATTATAATGTCCCTGGAAGCTGCAGATAAAGACAGACAGAGAGATTTTTTGATTGCACAGAATCGCCTCTCATGTCTGCTGTTGTAATGTTCCAGTGAGAGAGCGTGAGACTTACAGCACCACAGCGTCCCGTTACAGCTGTAGACGGACTGCAGGCGGTCGCATGAGAGGCGAAAGTGCCTCTTCACCTGAGTGGTTGGTGACACAAAAACCATAAGTATGAAGTGAACCATTACCGTTTGAAACAGGAAAGAAAGAAGAACAGAGACGAGCAGTCATCGGCAGCTGCTGTGATGACATGGTTGAATGAAAAATGTAATCCTTAAATTAACCGGTAAACTATCAAATTATCAATGGTTGGTTTGTGTTGGTTTGAAACTGACCTGGAGGGTTGAGACGTCCCACACCATGACGGTTCCCTCAGCACTGCAGGAGTACGCCACCTTCTGGCTGAATAACATATGAACGTGTTACAGGTCGGACAAAGACAGGGCACCTACATTAACTACAAACATATACATCGAATAGACACTTGGTGAAATAGTGCTCGTCAAAGTTATGTGTGTGTGTGTGTGTGTGTGTGTGTGTGTGTGTGTGACCTGTATTTTTCAGTGTCGAGCGCCAGTCCGGTGACCTCCGCCCGGTGTTCAGTCAGCTGTCTGTTGCAGACCATGGCCACCATGCTGATGATGTAGATAACAGAGTCCTCAGAGCCCATCCAGACCTGGTCCTTATCAACTCCGAGCATGCAGTTCTGAAAACAGAGAGAGAGAAAGACACGCCACCGATCAGAATTCACACAGCTACGGAGAACAACCAGGTGTCTACACACATGAGTGAACCATAGGTTTGAAGACTAAACATGGAACCATTTTGGATGAATAATAGGAATTAGTAGGCTGTTTAGAGGAGGCAACATACAGTATTTGCTGATTTCCTTTATTTCATGTGATAGGAAAGTTGACTACTTCTGGGTTTTGTGCTTGGTTTTTGGACTGCCCAAACCAAAACATCTGAAAACGTCACCTGAAGCTTTATATATTTATTTATTTATTTATATATTAATTTTTGTAGTATGTTAATTCTCCACTAGGTGGTAGCGTTGTCTAATAAACAAAACTTAGCTCCTGAACACACTGTCCTCTTTACAGCAGTGCATCTAATACCATAATCTGTTTCTACAGTTTTAAACTTAACCAAATTAAAACAATGTGGGGGAAAAAAATGTATTAAATAGAAATAAAATATTCATATAAAGATGCACAGCCACAAGTAAAAAAGAAAAGCTGCTTGTTATTTTCTTATCAGTTGCTATTTTAATCATCCGTCATGCTTTACATGGTTACTACTGTAGAAGTAAGAGCAATGTCCAAATGCTTTAATACGTGACCGAGTAGTGTGACACACACACACACACACACACACACACACACACACACACACACACACACACACACACACACACACACACGCTTGGAGTCGAGGTCAGTGATTAGCACCGAGCCTTAAAACGTTACTCACATCGTGAACTTCTTTTACGTTGAACATTTTCCAACGAGCTTTAAGGCGCTCCGCCCAACTTTCACTTGTTTGTTGTGAAAGTCGACATTTGCACAAAAAAATGTTTCGGTCTTGGAGGGAATGAAAACTATTCGAAACACACTGTACACTCCTCAGAACATGTGCTTGCAATTCTGAAGATAATAATGAAAGAGTTTGATCTGTATCTGATGTCAGTGGTATGCATGTGTTGCTGATCTTGTCCAGTGATGCAAAGAAGTGAAGCATCAAGAGACAGAAGAACTACCAAAGAATTAGAATCTTAATATCTTACTGTGAGCAACATACACACATTCTGTATTATCGTTTTATATTTTGTATTATGTTGTGTTTTTTTCATTCAAATAATGCCAAAGTTCTCAAATGCATCCATGTTTCAAACTTTTGTCTAAATCATATACAGTCTAAGAATTGTGAAAAAGAGATTCAAAGTATTTATAGCTCTGAGAAACTCAGTGTACTTCTCCCAATTCACATGGAGAGCTTTTGGTTGGAAACATCTGATTCTGTTTTGTCATAACTCCTAAATTTAAAATGTGTGTACAATGTGTGTGTGTGTGTGTCTGTTTTTATTACCAGTCTTGCATTTCCAACGTGGCAGGTGTGTGTGAGGGACCAGCTGGAGGCATCAAACACCATCACCTTCCCCATGCTCACAGACACCCATAACTGACCTGAAACACATGTAGTATTTACCAGTCATTTCACAGTACCTTATCGCAACACTCGTGACCTACAGCTGCCAGTGTTTGCTCTTTCACAAGGCCAAGAGGGAAATGTGAACGTCAACCGACAGTTGGAATGGAAACACTCCGTGTTCAAAACTATGTATTTCTGCTGCCTGACTCCACCCAGGCTTTCACCTAACGGCCAGAAATCCTCGAACGTATTCAGCGCTATTTAAAAGCACCGCTGGCGGAAAGAAAAAGAAATTAACATCCTGTATTTCGCAGGAGGAGCGACAGAAGGGGGCATCGAGGGGAAAGGAGAGAGAGAGAGAGAGAGAGAGAGCGGGTAGAGAAGTAGGAGTGAACTGGCCATACGCCAGGAATTCAATTCAGTGACCTATATTGAAACGGGAGCGTCAGAGAGAGGCAGGGGAGGGGGGATCTGAATGGCCAGATTTGTTCTTTTCACCAACAGCAATCTTGAGAACTGACTGCTACAGAAGAGCTGAACAGAGTCTGTATATGTGAGTGCGAGTGTGTTAGTGCCGGGGGTCAGTCTGCCACCAGCCGGGCATCTAAGTGGCCCCATATGGTCGGTCCACTGAAGCCGATGGCTTTATAGTTCTTTTTAAGATGTTTTCCTCTCAGTCTTCCTGCCACGTAATGCGCCAGTCTGTCTGCCCACAGCATAGTTAAGTCAGAGGACTGTTTCTAAAGGCTACACAACAGTAAACAATGCGTGTGTTTGAAGGTCAAATGTGATGGCTGGGATTTCCTGATGGTTGACAGATTAAAATAAAAATCTTTGTTTTAGAAAAGGTTTGGGCTCACTTAGTTTTGTGTCCCTGAATTATTTGAGCATTTTAGATCTCATGAAATAAACCCACTGCGACTTTTACTACGAGTACATTCTAAGTGAGATTTTGTTGCTTTTACTCTCTTGTGGAGTGGAGGTGCAGCGAAGTTAAGAGGTGTTTCTGCAGAATTACAAGCCACAACATGGCCAAAAGTTGACCGTTTACTACCGTTGTTCCCAGAGACGCACGGCATCACACCTGATGTTGACATGTTTACTATTGCTGTCTGTGAAACGGGATTATCTGATTTATTCTGTTTTTTTTTACATGATTTCAAAGCTCCCATATGAAAGGCTGAATTGTGTCTATATGACAACTTAACCTTAATGAGAAGTTTCCCAACTTCTTTATTCCTAAATTTCTGGCTGACTTCCTTTTGTTTTCCTGTAAAGGAGACCGGAGGTTGAGAAACTTTGTGTGCAGCTTTATGACGGTCTGTCATTTTATGTCGGAGTGAGTGAGAGAGAGGCTATGACAAAGCACAGTGACCGTGTGTTGGTATGACAGTTGAAACTCTGGAGTGTAAAACTCCCTTGAGAGAGAGAAACCTGACATTTGTCAGCGCAGTGACAGTGAGAACAGAGGAGATTACCTGGTTACAGGTTTTACCTGGTGTGTATAGAAGTACATCTACAGCCTGAGGTGCAGCGAGCTCCAGCGAGGGGTTAATTTTGTGCTTCAGCGTCTCTGCAGTTGTCTTGGGGACCATCATTGGCACTAGAGACACACAAACCAATGTTAAAGAGAATTAACTAACCTTTCACAGGTGGTGGATGCACAAACATGCACCGAAAACCCCCAAACAGCAATAACAATCTCCACACAACCTCTGATGAGTCATTATTTATGGAGGAAAACTTAAATCCAAACAGTCTTAAATGACTGCAAATTGCAACCAAAGTCAAGTCATTAACCACCGCCTACATTAGGAATAACAAAGGTTTTAGTGCATCAGAGAAGCATCCAAACTGAATCAAAGCAAACTGAGCTTATAATGCCTCCCATGTTGATGAAATGGGTGGTAAAAGTAAAGCAAACAGGACAGAATCTACAACAATAATCATCGCCACCTTCCATCTTGATGCGGTCAAAGTGAGCCAACTTGGAAGCAGCGTAGATGGCCTTACTGCTCTGAAGGCTGCCCACCACTGCGTCCATTAACAAGGCGTTGGTCAGAGCCTGCTGCATGTACTGGGGGTCCTGGAGACAAAGATCCATTCACAATTACACCACAACATGTAGCGCCTTGCAAAAAAGTAGACGGTGCTTCACAAAAAGGCATATAGCAATGAGATTGTAACAAAAAAATTCTAGATTTAAAAAACGAATGTTAAAGCACGTCTAGAAAATTGATTTTAGGGTGTGAATAGCGGAATAAACAATAAATGAAAACAGGCTTTGGTGAGATAAATCAGAGATAAAGATGTCTTGATTATTTGGTTTAGATCTTGGTGCAATGCTGCCAGACTTCTTGATAATGCGGCGGCTTATTCACCGTGACAGACGGAGAGTATAAAAAAAAAAAAGAGAGAGAGAGACCATGAGAGAGAAATGAGAGGAGTGAGAGACAGAGGTGTTACAGTTACATCATCTGGTTTCACAAAGGAAATCCTCTTTGTTCAAGTGTGTATTTGTGTTCCTTTACGCCTCAGGGAATTTCAACCACACCTACCGAAGGTCAGTCAACTTTACAATGACTGGCATTAGCGTGCATGCACGCACACACACACACACACACAAACACACGGACACAAACACACACACAGATAAACCTACATAAGGCCAAGATATGAGTAATAAAGGCACATGATAACTCACCAAATTATCTTTCTTTCTCGTGCAATTATTCCTCTCTTTTCCGATTCACCCCTCACACGTACAGCTCATATACTGGCACACACGTACACACCCCTCAGTGACAGCTTTACCTTGTGCTGGTCAGCCATGTTGCGCCCGGCCCACATCTCTTTGACCATCAGGTTCCATAGCTCAGTCTCTGTTTTCAAATTGGCCTCGAACGCCTCCTTTCTGCCCTGAACACGCAGCTTCAGGCTGGGGATTCTCAGGAGCAGGAAGGGAGCCGAGGACACTTTCACCTCCTAGAGGAAAAAGAGAGGGAGAAAAGGATCGAGATCACGATGCAGGATCGACATGCTTCGACTGAACCTAGAGTTCAAACTCGAGACTCAAAACGGCATTTTGTCCTTCCTTTTTGCCTCACCTCTAAATCTCGGTACTGTGCCACCTCCACGTATCCCGGTCGTCCGTCGGTCAGCAGGAAGAGCCGTCGCTGAGTCATGGCGATCTTCCCCACACCGCGGCTCGTCTTGACAGAGGAGGACAGCTTGAAGACACACTCGCTGGGCTCAATGTGCTCCGAGACGGACGCTGGCAAGCGCACCTGAAAATCACACAACAACCAGTCAGCTGATTTCACCGACTTGTCCGCTGGTCGAGGAAAAACCTTTTCAACGGCAGGTTTTCCGTATGGGTCTTTATTGGCCTTGATGTTCAAGGATGTTCAAAATAACACATGTATGCATTGTTACAGTAACACAATTTGTAAAACTGCACACACCCTAAAAAGTCCAAAATAAATCAAATTCATTGATTCAATTTATCAGCATTAGCAATGAATACTATCTCTATAAGCTCTTTTGGTTTTTAGTTGATGAAAAATTGAGTTGGAAAAATTATATTCATTCAGTTTGCAGTTAAAATAACAAAATCAACTCCTTCTTTTCAACAAACTACACATTTTTAAATGAACTAAACTACTACAAGCTCTAATGCAAAACAACACCATCGCAGTTCTAGATGTTTCCTGATGTACGCCTGTTGGCAGACGTAAAATAAGCTTCAAATTTAAATTATGATCAGCTGACAAGCACAACGCGATTGATTTTCCGTCGATGTCCCACTTCACCTCTACACTGTGAATGTGAATACCACTGCAGTTGATACCGTTGAAACCATATATTCAAGATTTGGGCCTTTTATTAAGTTGTCTGTTACAAGTTAAGCCTACACACAGACCTCCTGTGCCTCGGCCTCAGTCTCCTTCCAGATGGTGTAGAAGACTCTAAACAAATCTGGACCCACTTGCTTCTGATGACCTGCAACAAACAAACACACACCTTCATCATTAGGTGTCCTGTATGACTTGTGACACTGAAAAACTTTATACTGATCCTAATTTACCCAGAAATGATTGACTGAGCTGAACGTGTATAGAAATGCTCAGCTTCATACTCTCTCACTCTCACACACACACAAACATCTGGTCGCTGACCAGGCCAACTCCCTCCTAAGCAGTCTAATCTTCCCGCTTGCCTGCAGAGTGAGCAGCTGGGGGTTGTAGTCTTCACTGTATATTTCAACAATGACTAAACACAGTAGTCTGTGCACTCCCCCGCACCCAACATCTGCCACCGCCATCTGGTAATGACCACTGAGCATAAAGATTCAGTTTCATTCTGACTTCAAATAACCACAGCAGGACAATGACTTCAAACTGTCCAACATCTCTGTTAACATCTCACCTCTATCTAAACATGTGTTATTTCGATAGATATGAAGACAATGAGTCATATTGAAGTGAAGTCAAGTAGTCTGCAGTTGGATTCTTGGAGCTTATAACCAGGCGTCCAACACTCTGGACACACTGTCTGTATCTCATTCTCCAGCAGGTCAGAAGAGGAAAAGGAAAACTTGATGTTTGCTCATTTCACCAAATGGGATGTAAATTCCCCTTTTCCGATAACATAATGTGGATGCAGGATAAGCTCTCACACCAACCTTTCTTCCTGAGGAAAGATTTCCAGAGGGGCAATTTTGGCTACAACCTCAGCTTTTGAAAAATGACCTCACCTCCCCCTCTTAAAACACCGTGCCTCCCTAGTAGCTCTTATCTTACATTAAAAACAAATACCCCTTATTATTCAGCCCATAGCTCATGTGACTCAAATATGTTGTCCTTCCCGTTTACATACCCGATCTGAGAAAACAGGAATGTTGTCAGGTCACTGCGGCACTCAGGCTGGCAGGCACTAGTTACTAGTAGCTGCTCGTAATGTTTACAATGTACAAACAGTGTTCAAGTCTGCTCAGTGCATCAGTTCATCACCATATGCAACTTGTAATATTTGCCATTAGCCACCAGCTAAAGGCCAGTAAATTACCACTGGAGCCCTGGTTACGCCTGCAACACCAAACAGCCCAGCATGACCAACTCTCCTTCTTCAAGAAGGGGCGAGGTAATGATTAACCTGAGGAATGAATGTTTGCCTAGGAAGAGGGCGAAGGAGGAGTGTAGCGTGCGTGTGTGTGTGTGTGTGTGTGTGTGTGTGTTCGTGTCTGTGTGTATGTTTAGGTAGCAACTTGGGTTAGTAAGAAAAGTTCTTCAGGAGAGCCTGTTTGATGAAAAGAACGGAAAAAAGGCCTGAGCTGCTCTCATAAATGTGCATTAATAGCACATAACACACACATACATGTATGCATATGCATTACACTACTTACCTACAGTTAGAGCATCAAAGAGCCTTTGTATGGTTCCTTGGTCTTTTACAATGCCGGACTCCTGGATACATTTCACAAACTCCTCCAGCTGCATGTATGTTTTCGGCAGCTTGAAGCGCTTCACGGAATGTTCCTCCAGCCCGCTGTCGTCGCGGGCGCGTTCCCGCTCCTGGTCCCTCTTGACCCGGCTGATGAGCCGTTTCAGTTCTGGCCGTTTGTCCACCTGTGGAGAGATTAATTAATTACAGCGCTAATAAATGGTGTTTCTTTGCCAGATGATATTTAATGTGTTGTACATCTCAACAACAATAAGATTGCGTAAACTCAACTTGACTGATATATACGTATATATAAATCAGGTGCACTTGATGCAATCAACTGAAGTGAATCCAGATAACTGCATTTACATCTAGCAGAGTACAACACAATGTCCTCATTCATGACGGACTGACCTGTAACCTTTCAGCTTCTGGCAGAGAGTCAACCAGTGACTTAACCATCTGAGAAGGGAAGATGTTGGAGTCAGTCTTATACAGACTCTGGAAGTCCTCCAGTGCATCCAGACGCCTGTTGGACACAGTGTTTACCAAACCTCGCAGGTAGTGGTACCTGGAAAGACAGACGGATGGATTGGGTGAGGTGTCTGATAAGAGGTATTTAGTGGTCTAGAAGTCGTTGGTTGGTTTACAATTTAGCAATCCTCAAATCAATTTCTAAACTTTCACACATAATGATACAATCACTCACCACAGTATAAATGCTTTTTTTTTTTTTTTTTTTTTAAATATCACAACTCATGGCGTACAACTTGTTTTTCTAGTTTACTACTTCCCTTAAAAAAAAACAATGACTCGGCAGGAAATCTGACAGAGAAGCATGCGTTTTTAGAAACCGGGCTGGCTGAGGTTTGCAGTTTAAACAGAAGCTTAAGCTGTCAAGTGCACACTGCAATCAGCAAATCCTGCAGGATCATTTTATTTGCTTTATTTTAAAGGTTTAGTGAGCCACCGTCTAAAGTTCATGGATCAGAAAGTAAAACAATTGATCTGAGTGAGTCACACACAAATACAGTGCAGAAAATATGAAAATACTCTATCAGCATTTGTTGATGAAAAACAGTTAAAAGAGCAAAGAGCATTCAGATATTGAATATGGAAATATGCATTCTCAGTTATGTCTCCTCACAGTACCTTGCCATCAGAGCAGACTCTTCCGGTAGTGTAGCGTTAATAGCCTTCCCCAGCGAGGAAACCATGTCAGAGTAATAGTTCTGGACGTAGTGATAGGCCAGCGGAGGGGGGAACTCTGGGAGGCGGAAAACCGTCACCGCTTTCTGAGGAGACTTCAACCCTGGAGGGTGACAAAGGGAATTAGAAATAGTTTGACCCTTAATTGACTCTCCAATAATCCATTTGGTCCATCAGTACTGACCGACATCCAGCGTCATCTTCCTGAGGGAGGCTGGTCTGTTGGAGCTGATGGACGTCACAGTGTCATTGGCAGGTTGCTCCAGGTTAGGCAGGCTGGCTCCCAGCCTCTTGCTCAGCCTGTCATTAGGGCTGGTGTAGCTGGTGTAGCCACTCCTGGACAGATCAGACATGAGAGGACGCCGAGGAGACTCCGTCATCGCACGATTCCTGTAGAAAGACGCGGAGGAGACATGATGTTTAAACAGGTTTAGTTATGATCTCTGTCAATACCTATATTATGACATCAAGGCAATCCCATTTTCATTGATGGGCGTTGGCTGTGCAATAAACCCAGATGATTCATTTTCTTACAGTACTTAATTGGCTATCGACAAATCTCCCATTCCAGTTATTCCCTACATGAGTGTCTTTATTACCTGAAGGGTTCTTGAAAAGCACCTCAGGGTGTCTTCTACACAGTCTGCATTACTCAATCACTTAGTTCATACGGATGGAAATATATGCAAACGATATGAAAGATGTGTATTTCTTGCTTTTGGTCTGCAACTGATGATCATTTTCACTAACCATTAATATGCTAATTATTCCTACTCAGCATGTAACCTGAAAATGTATTAAGAAGATCTTTAAAATGTACTTGTTTTAAGTGTGAAACAAACTCATATTTTTCTACTCCGCTTGCACTTTTATCCCCTCAGTTGCCTGGTCCCTCAGCTATGACATCACACTAGCAGGTATCCTACCTGTGTGCATGGTTACGCGTGTTCTGCTCCATGCAGCTGAAGGTGTCCCGTTTCCTGTTCAGCCTGTCTCGCAGGAATGAGTGGAAGATATGAGTGTCTAATACCTGGGGACAACAAAGAGAAACATGCAGCACAGATTGTCAGAGTTTGAGTTTTTGTGTGCGTGTGTGTGTGTGTGTGTGTGTCTTGTTTGTAAAAATGTGTGAGTGTACCTTCTTGTAAAAGAGCTGGTCTGCTGGCTCCCTGGTCCGCAGAAACTCCTCACTGTTGAAAACTCTGTGTTCATGGTTTAGAAAGTCCTGGACGTCCCTGACAAAAAAAACAAACAACAGATGGAAAGAGGAACAATCAGACAAAACAAACAGAAACAGAGAGAAATGGTTTCATTCTGACTGAAATGAGTCTAATATATCTGAACATGTAACTACTGACCACTATATTTCATAGGATCACAACTATTTGTAAATTAAACACAGCAGTTTAAATGAAACACTCAGAGAGCATTACCTGAAGATGTTGACCACGAGTTCCAGAGCGATGTTTTGGATCTGTGTGTTGAGGCGTGTCTGCCAGTCTCTGCGTTGACATCGCAGTGCGTTGGCATCAGTGCCCGCTCCAAGATGACACAGCTCCAAGTCATAGTGAAGCTGGAGACCCTCTGCCCTACACACACACAGTACACCAAGCACGTAAGAATCGGATAGACAGGAACACACTCACAGGACTTTTCTTTGGTAAACTGTGTTCTCTTTGTAATTTGATTTAGCAGGTATTTAGGAGGCAGATTTAATTTAAGTTCCAAATCTGTTCCAACTTTACTCCACTGGTGGTTCAAGCGGCAAAATGATTTCTAGTCAACCTAAATCCTGCACCGAAGAGTGGTGGTACACTGTGTTTCTGGCCACGATTGAAGCAAATTTAAAGCGGTTTACTTTTACAGTGTGTGTGTGTGGTTTTTTTTGTGTTACCTTGACATAAAGCTCTCGGCTGCAGCCAGAGGCATAGCTGGTAGGTCAATGGTTTCAGACCATGACAGCTGAATGATGCCATCATCAACATTCACCAGAATTAGCTCCTCTGTCTCCTATACAAAGCAAAAAAACACACACACACACACACACACACACACACACACACACACAATGGGTACAATTCATTACAACACAGCCTGACTGTGCCCTGATGTGTTAGACTAACAGGCAGCTACTGTTAAATATGTGAACTAAGCTTCTGTAAGACACTGAATAAAGATGAATGCAGTGGAGAATCATCTATTGTTAAATACTGTATGCGAGCTCAAACGAGACAATTTCAAAAAGACCGGTCAGTTGAATTCCACGCAAGCAATTTTAACAATACTCATGATAAACCTGATGTGAACTATACTGCCAAGAGCCTTGCCCTTTCTGGGGAATAGCCAAGACATTATTGCAGAGTTAAAGCACTATGTATATATCCATTAATTCCACTGATTCTGGAAAAATTCTTTCCATTCAATAAAGAACAATATGTCTTCCCTAGTATAGGGAGGAGCAACAGTTTAGACATTAACTTGATATCAACTTAAGCCAAAATCCACCCATCATCTTGGGCATGAAAGGTCAGAAAGACAAGACTGTACGCCTCGATGGCGATAAGAAAGTTTGTAGACAGTGAACGGTACTCACTGCGGCGACCTCTTCAAAATGACTGATGTGACAGCCCATCAGGAAGGCTGTGGGAGCCATGAGGAAGTCCAGCATTCCTCTCGCCAAGACAGGAACATAAGGCTGCTGCCAGGACAGAGGCTGAAAGAGAAGTCAGAGGAACAGGCGACAGATGAAAGGTGGATCAGGGGAAGCTGCAGGATGTTACACGATGACTCTTCAAAGTAAAAAATCAAATACTGCAATTGTAAGACACAATGTTCCTCCTCCACTGACCTGCAGGTACAAAAGCAAACTCTCTGCGACCAGAGTGAGTCTGGCCCAGTTAGCAGAGAAGAAGACCAGCCTCTGCTCTTGAAGCATGCAGGACAGCACCTGTAGAGAGAGACGGGCCTCGTGGAGTTACCTCAACAAAGACATTTTTTTTTCAGGCTCCTTCCTGTGTTTCTATGCGATGCAGGAGCAGTCTCTGTGTGCTGCGTTACCTGGAGCAGTGTTGTGTGCGTGAAACAGAGGAAAGGAAGATGCAGGTCGATGTCGATAATGGGACTGTCCTGATCCTGCCTTGATGGAAGAACCACGTGGATGGGCCGGAGGTTGAAGGACTAACACACAGAAACACACACATATTAAGATCAAGCAATTGAAACTGGTCACATAGAGAGACAAATACAGATAAAGTGAGGGCGAGAGAAACTTTGTGAGAGATATCTCAACAGAGAGAGAGAGGGAGAGAAAAAGTGTTTTCTGACCACATGTAGCTGTCCAGGTGGTGGTAAAGGGACCAGGGACAGCTTGGCTGAAAATTCCTTTATGGTCTCCTCAAAGTCAGCTTGTCTCGTAGGCCGCAACAGGACCAGGAGACTGAGAATCGAGTCGGGGGAAGAAGAGTCGGGGGGGGGGGGGGGGAGACAGTTTTAACATGTCATCAAATCATCTTAACCGTGGTCAGGTTATCCATCAGCTCTATGTGTTTAATAGAAATTATTACCATGACAAGCAGTCCTTCAGAGCATTGTAATAAGGGAACTTGGAGATGACACACAAAGCAAAAGGTGTGAAGAGGCGGAACTTTGACGAATTCCACCTGTGGCCATTCTGGACAGCATCTTCCTGACAGGACTGACAGGGTAGACAGCCAATGAGAAACAACTGTCTACATTCATTGGATTCAACATGTTTTTCTGTGTGTGTGTGTGTGTGTGTGTGTGTGTGTGTGTGTGTGTGTGTGTACCTGTATAGCTCTGTAGTACTGCACGACAACTCCATGGGTTCGGTTCCCAAACAGGTCGGTAAAAACCAGGAAGTGATAACTGTCTTCTTTCTGCTCATTGGCTAACTGAAGACCACCTATCCAAAGGAAAACCAAGAAGTCTCTAAGCAGTGTTGAACTGTATGCCACGTTAATGTCATATAGGAGTTAAATTCACATAAACATCCATCCATCCATCCATCCACCGTCGGAGGCGTACTGATTAGATGCCCAAACCACCTCAGCTGGCCCCTTAGGGAGTAGCCGCTCTACTCCACGTTCCCTAAGGATGTCTGAGGTCATTACCATATCTCTAAGGCTGAGCCCAGCCCCCTTATGGAGGAAGCTCATTTTGGACGCGATCGCATGCCCAAAGCTCATAACCATAGGAGACGGTTAGAACGTAGATGGACTGGTAAATCGAGAGCCTCTCCATGAGACACTGAAGAGGCGTGTGAGCCAAGACAGCCAAACAATGTCCAGAGCCTTCAGCATCAGGGCAAATCTCATCCCCATTGCCTTGTTGCCGAGAAGCTTTTTGACTACCTCAGGGACTTCTGCCAGGGATGTAGAGGAGTCTTCACCCGTGGCTTCAAACTCTGCACAAAGGACGTGTTGGTCAGGTTCAGGAGTTACTCAAAGGGCTCTTTCCAACTCTCAACATTTTACCAAGTCTGGGGCCGCAGTTCTCCTCCCCTGTTAAACACAGCCTGAGCAAGCCTGCTTTCCCTTTCTAAGTCTTTCAGTGTGCCAGAACTTCCTTATGGTCAACAAAAAGTACTTCTCCATAGTCTCCACAAACCACACCCGGGCTTTTGCTTAGCTGCAGCTGGTCTGGTCTGCTGTTCCCAGAGACCCTTGGACCGACCAAGCCTGAGGCCTCCTTCCAAGTTATCAACATCCAAGTCGCAATAACGTCTGGGAAACTCAGATTTTTGTCATTATAATAAAAGACATATAGCTAAAGGGTAAGAAGGCAGTGCAAGTCTGCATGCCACTGATGCCAGTGAGTGGTTTTGGTGCGTAATCTACATTGCGGACTTCTAGTGAGATAGCAATCCATGATGGTGATCTATGATGGTAACCATAGTGCAAGATCAGTCACCTCATGACATTGTCTGGTTAGATCAGTAGAAATCAAGGTTTGGACATGTAATGCCATGCACTGAAGATGTAAGCACAGCAGAATAGGCAAAAGTAAAAACGTGTTGCTCGACATGGCCACTGACATACGGAGGAAACATAACAAACTGTTGTGACTATAGAACAAATAGATTTTGCACCATTGTGTTACTCAATTCAAAACATGGAAATGTTAAGTTTGTCACAGAGGAAACACACGGTACCAGGGAAGCAGAGCTGTGGCAAGGCGATGAGGTCCAGATCCTTTGGAACACTGATGTCCTCTGTTGCTGAGGACGCTTCAGTATGATTGCTTGTTTCTCCATTAGGCAACACCTCTGCAGCACGATCTCGCCTCTTCTGCAAACGATCAGAAAAACAACAAATATGGAGATTATTTCCGAAAGTGATCAACAAAGATGCCTGCTAAATGTGATCTGAAACACCCAATCCTTTATCCACTTGTTAACTGTTTCAAATTGACCATTAATATATGAATTATCCTTTTGTTTACCTTTTTGATAAAGCTCCTCCTCCTCTGGACACGACTGAAAGACGGTCCAATCAACTGGCTGGAGTTGGTCTCCTTGGAAACAAATGGCGGGGCGTGGACCTGCAGTACCTCTGCTTCCAGCAGGGGGATTTCATCTAACTTACTCTGCAGATGAAACTATGGCACACTTATAAATATTCAGAGTTATAGGTTTGGCAACCAATAAGACACTGTACACATTAATGTATCCTCTATTTATCTCAAGTGTTTCCAGTATCCTTTACTATACTTAAACTTAATCCTACATATGGTATATCACAATCCTTAATTCATTATTTACCGCTATTTCAAAGTGTGTGTGTTAGATACTATGCACACCTGTCGTTAACATGCTCTTTCTGTTCATACGTGGAGATTAACTGCCCAGGTGCAACCGGTCCATTCAATAGTAATCTGATCGCAGTAGTCGCCACTCTTGTGAGTTGATGTTGATACAATAAGCATGCGAGGTGTAAATGCTGCCCACATCGGTTTGTTTGCGTACTTTTTTATTTTTTGACAGTTGTTTTCCATCTGTCTTTGTGTTTAGCGTGTACATACCTGGTATATGTCTCGAAGCTTATCACTGGGCGCTCCGACCACTACACATGCCTCCAGCAGTCCAGACGGGAGCTCTGCCATCACACACACACACACACACACTGCCAGAAACACACACACACACACACACACACACACACACACACACACACACACA